GGGGGGGGGGGGGAAAGCAAGCTGCTAGCATTGGCAGCACTCACCTAGTCCTGGACATGAAACTTTGCAAACTGCTTTATCAAATCTTCACTAATACAGTTCCGATTTAGATTTTGGGTTCAGAAAGTGATTAAAAAAAAGTTACAGAGGAGGTCATGCAGTGACTCAGAATTAAAAAAAAATTCAACTAGACTGGAGAGCTCAGAGACACCTGCATGAAGTAGGTTTAGAACTTCTTTCTAGTAAAGATGCAACTGTCTGGAAGCTGCATTCCAAGTATAGGGAAGACATTGTAAGGAGCAGTTCCAGCTCTCAATGAATGAATAATCACCTGAAGAAAGCTACTCAATATTAAGAATTTTGGTTTTTCCTGTCAAATTTTGACTGACCAGTTGCAAAAGCTACAGCTGGAAAATATGTTGTGTGAATAAAGTAAGAATTGCCAGAAGTCAGGCTGAATTAGGCTTTACAAAAGGAAAATGACATAAATAATAAGAGATTCCTTAGCTGTGTAAAAAGGAAAGAGAAATGAGGCTGTCTACAGTAAGAATTTTATTGATTTTAAAGACAATCTAGGTATTAAATCAATGGGAGTTCTGGTACAGAAATGGAAATTTCCACAACCGAATTGGAAGCAAAACTGAAACAGCTTAGTACGGTTGAACTGTTGGGCCCAGATAATCTTTATCCCAAAAATCTTAAAATCTGGGACGTGAAATTACAGGGCTGGTAACAATTATTTTAAATAAATTTCAAGTCAGCGTGGTACTGTATGATTAAAGAATACCAAACATAACTGCTATACTTAAAGTGGAAAAAGTGACCTGAGCAGCTACAGGGCTTTTTGGCTGACTCCACAAAACACAAGGCCCTAGGAGAGAATTTGAAGGAGAGAACATTAAGATTTGGAGGTAAAGGTACAAACTAGCAAGAGAAAACCTGAAATTTACCCAAGTAGATAAAATGTTATAGCTCTTTCATAAAATAACAGAGTTCTACAAAGGGGGAATATGGCACTGTACTTACTCTGTACTTTAGTAGAGCATTTCGTACTGTGCCGTGTGGGAAATCAGTATTTTTTATAACAAAGGTGAAAGTTAGCACTAGGCTTATATTGTGACAAGGAAAAGATGGTGGGTTATGCTCAAGGGACCAGTGACTAGGTTGTTACTGGACCTGGCACAAAGTAAGAGCGCGTTAAAGAAAGTTTACTAATCAGAGCATCATTTAGCACCAGATAACCTCAAAGAGTTACACTTGAGGGATTAGTAAGAATTTATGCTACAGGTTGCAGTGCATCAGTTGTGTGACAGGAGCAGACAAACTTGAGAGCGTCAGTCTATTGCATGAACATGAACCAATATTATACTTCCACAGCGTAGGACATGTACTTGCAACATACATCAAGCAAACGTTTCCAGGAAAGAGAGAAAAGTACCAATAAATAAAGTATAAAGTTTAAGCTACAACACATGCAGATTTCTATGTGCAATTCTCATCAATTTACAGCATAAAAGATATGTTCAGGCTGAAATATGTGCAGAAAAGAGCTTGTAAGAGGGTCAGACAAACGTCTGCTAACAAGACACTAGAAAAATGTTAGATCTAATTTACACTTCTGTGTAGAGAGTTCATATGCATACTATCTAATTTGTTTATAACTGTGAACTGAAACTAAGCCCCTCTTTAAAAGTATTACTTACAGAGGAGCTTTAGCATTTGCCATTATAAAAATAACTTTTTTTTTCCCCTCCCAGTAGAGAAAGAATAAATGGCTGGATGCAATAAAAATCTGTCTGGCTTCTAGGCAATAGAAGCCTGGACCAGCCCAGAAATGTCATATTTATGTTCTTCTGTGGAAAGGAAAATGGATGGAATCTTTATAATGATAGGAACTGACCCAAACTGCTTTTGGTAGAAATTTCCAGTAGTCACAAATGGGAGTGAAGCACCTAATTTCCATCAATTTATGCAATAATCCTGACATACTCTCTTAATTTTACTAGCTGAGCTAAGCCCCTGGATACTTGATCTCCTCTTTGTATGTATTAGAGACAAATGTTAATTCCAAACAAATGAATATGCATGGCATCTTGAAATAATCTTAACTCAAAGATTAATTTGAAATTACAAGTTAATCACATCTTAATTCAAAATCTGAATTATACTTACTTGGCAGAATTGAGGACTTTTGGAGCAAAGACCTGAAATAAATATCAAGAGATTACAGAAAGTTCTGAGGAGTTTTACCCAGTTCTTAAAATACTAGAATTGTGTATTTGAAGCATGCAGTGGTAGAATGTATTCCATCTCACCCATTTGTCCAGTGAGAAATAAGGGCCAGGTACAGGTGTTTAAAAAAAAAAAAAAAAAAAAATCACATCCCACTAGTACTGACAATTAGGAATTTAAACATCTGGTTTAAATCTCCATCACCTAATTAGAGATTATACCATGCTTTTTGGTGGTGGTTATAATATTTGGATGCATTTGCTGTGTTTTATTTTTTGACATTGTGAGGCTTCAAGAAACATGACTTTCAAAAAGCAACAGAAGCCTACAGAGTAAACAGTGCTCCCCTTTGAACTTTCCACAGCTGTGTTCAGACTGAGCAGTAGGAGCTGGTGCGCTGAAATATTCAAGAGATGATGAAAAGGGATTTTACTTTTGGGCACCACTTGGAAGGAGTGGAAGCGGAAGCTCTTGGCTGGAACCTCGTCGTCGTTCTGCTGCCGTAGGTTTTTCTGTAGTTTGGGAAAACAAATTGCAGAGTCAAGATTTCTTCAGAAATATATTGTCCCAGATAAGAGTGTTCCAGTAGTTGAAGGAGGGTTTCTTTTATTATTATTGTTATAATTTGGGGGTTTTATTTCCCTTACATGGCAGCTCGCCATCCTGTTGCTTTCTTTATTGACTAGTGGCACACCACCAAATTTCTAGGCAAATAGCTGCAGTGTGAATGCCTGCAGGAGCTCAGTGGGAGCCTTGCCTTCTGAGAGGCAAGCTGTGTGACACAGGGGAGGATGCTGGGGCAGGCTGGCTGCATCTTACCCTTCTGTTAGACAGCAGCTCCTGCTGAGTTTTTGCTTGGAGGAGCTGCAGCCCTGCACGGAGGCAAGATGTGTTTTCTGCCTGTGTGAGGGACTGGCTCTTGCGAGGAGTTGGCTCTCGCCTGAAGTGGTTCTTGCTGAGTTTAGAATGATGCGCTCATGCTTCTCCTCCCTTCCCCCTTCTCCGCTTTGAGGACTATATGGCACATGGCTGGTCCATTATGTTGTGCATTACCCTGCCAGTAACCTCAATAGTTTTATTGTGACTGCTTTTAGAGAACAATGATACTCAGTGCAACTAAGGCTAGCCAGATGCAGTTCAAAACTGCTAAAACCAAGCCCCTCTCAAAAAACCTACAATAAATTGAATGTAGTGTAGTTTGTTTCATGCTTTTAATAAAAAGAAAACTAAATTCTGATAAACGTCAACTTTTTCACAGTAGTGGAGATCATTTACCTTCATTTGCAGTTAAAGTGTCTCTGGAAGGTAAACATGGTTTCTGCAATAAAACAGAAGGAAACCAAGTACATTAAATGGCATGTCACTTGTACAGCCGATGTTTATCTTCTTAATACTTTTTGTGAACTAGTTTATATTTAGAATTGACAGCATCCTGGAGGGATTAGGAGGTAGGGACATGGCCATTCTGTGAAGAGCCTCTAGTTGTACGACCTTGAAGCTTGGGATTTTGCAAAGTAGATTTGGAAAGAATCCCAGGTTTGTGTGTATAAATAGATGGACGAAAGTAAAATCTAAAGATGTGCTTTTTAATTATGTTTTAACTCCTATCAGTAAGTTTATGGTGTAAAAAATTATTCATTCCTATGTCAAATCCAAAAATGAGGAGTCCATCCCAAACACTTGCAAATCAAAATCTGAACATTTTCGTCTTTGTCAAGCTATGCTCACAAATGTCTGAGCACATTTCCTATTACTGAAAGTTAAACTGTCAGTTCAGCTGACAGTAAAAACTCGCCCAGCCTTCCAGTTTCATTTTTTTCCCCATTTATTCTGAAACAATGATAATAAACTGTCAGTTTCGTAACATTTTTCAAATTAATTTATTTGAAAATTTTAACCAGTTCTCTCACTGTCTCCCACAAGAGGCTTTGGAATATTTTTCTAATGATAAAATACTTACTGAAAAGCCTCTGACAAATTCTTGTAAAATCCTGCATCTTTCTGAGCTATTGCTCTTACAATAAATCCATGTTCCCCATAGGCAGTCCTGTATATTTCAGGGAGTATTTCTGAACAGCCTGTTTTCCCATTTATTTCTCATTTTATTCAGTCCTTGCACTGTGTTTATTGTTTAGAGCACTGAATAAAAACATCCCTTTAGTCTCAATATTTTTCTATTTGAGCTTTCTAACTGCTACTGATTTCATATAATGGCACCCAAATATTTCCTTTCTTCATAACACTCTCTTTCTCCTACCCTTTTTATGCTTTCACGACATACACAAATTCATGATCAAATTGAGTTTTGCAAGGAAATGGAAAAATCACCTGTAAAATTATAATTTAATTATGCAATTACAAGTCAACTTACTGGTGAATTTACTGCATTAGAAGTTTTCTTTCTGCAGATTGGAGGGAAAAAAAAAAAGAAGAGAAGAGTATGGTTATTTAGCAGATACATTAATTCATTTAGCAACTAAGCATCAGGTTCATTGACTCCCAAGATATTTCTGGCCAAGATGGGATGCATCTCCCTCTTGGATAGCTGTAGCAGTTAGAAAAAAAAAAAGAAAAAAAAAGAATAAGGCTGTTGATGTAATGCGGGTAGTCAGGAAGCTACAAGGAAGCTATACTCTGTCCAGTACTTAAGATGACAGCTTGGGTGGGGCAGAAGAGTTTTAATGAAAACCACAACTTTCTGTGTGGACATGCATGTGCTATTGCTGCAGTATGTGATTAACTTAAGCAAGCCAGCCAGCATCTGCCATCAGCGGCAGGCAGTGAAGGGCAATGCCACTAGCATACAAACAGTATTCCTCCAGAAACAACAAAACAATAGCTTGCCTTTACCTAGTGAGGATATCTTTCATGAACAGCAATAAAATTTTGATTGCCATAGGTGAGGATAGGAGTTAGCTCCTAATACACCTATTAACCCCATCCCCAAAGTAGGTTTTTTTTTTTTTTTTTTTTTTACTCACAGGCCCCTTGGTAACGGAGATGGAGCTGCTCCAATGGGAAATCTGGATTCTTGTGTGTTATTGAAGCCATGATCTAGAGATGCAAATGACATATTTAGTGTGCAATATTAGCTGTGTCTGAACAGTGGATTTTCCTCACTGCCATTTCAGTGTTAATGTAATAAAAGTAAAATACATCCATTGGTTTAATTTTTGTCTTAACATGTTTTCACTCTGATTATACTAGAAAACAGTTCAGTAACATTTCTTGCTTATTGCTGACTGTTACAATAAAATTTATACTGACATGCTCCGCTACATGTGATATTAAGGTTGACATATTGACAACAAATCCATCTCATGTTGCCATGTTTTCAGTACAGAATACTTACTTTCATCATTAGTTTTTGCTTCATGGTCCTGTAATGGAAAAATATGTTAGATTTGATAAGAAGCAATTAAAAAAGGAATTAACATTACGCAGGAAGTGCATAAATAAATAATCTGGTCTTGGTAATACATGGTAATGTTTGAAGAAATATTTCTACAGAATGCATATAATATCCAGAATACTTTTCAAATGCTGTCATAAAAGCTGATGAAAAATTTTAGCAAACATCAATCTAATTTTGAACATTCTAATAACCTTGAGATTGCTTGTAGTATTGAGAAAATTGGCCCTGAATTTTGCAACAAGACCTTTTGGTTCATGTTTCATTTCTGAACTGGAAAGCAGAAGTTTTGCAGCAGATGTGAATATACTAAGAACACATCTTCCACTGAACAGAGGATCCTGAGTAGACTGTCTTATCACAATGCTAGAATTGAAGCAATCCAACTCATTTCCCAGCTTCTTTTGGGGACGCTTTCATTTGGCTCCCACTTCTTGTCTTTTAGGGAATCAGACTCCCATATGATAAGTACCTTTCAAAGAGGCACCAGTTATTAATTTGTCCATCTTCATCCATCAGGTTAATGGCTTTTCACTAATGTTGGTCACAAATGCATCCATTCTCTGGTTGGAGAGGTGTAATCCATCATCCAACAGTTGAGGGAGTGAGATGTGGAGAAATTTTTCTCCCAGTCAGCCCAGGCCTTTGAGAGGAACAAGGGTTACAGTTCTGTTAACATGATTGGTGCTAGTTAGTGTTGAGAATGGATTGAACGGGAGCAGTGAACAGATGTTTCAGTTATTGTTTTGCTTTGTCAGTGTGTATAGTCAGGGATGGAAAGGAACAGCACAGCACGGGACAAACATCATGCTCATTACCGTGTCTGTCTTTAAAACTGTAAGGGCTGGCCACTTTAATAACAAGCCAAGACCCAAAAACTTGGACTACACTGGGTAATTTTCTTAGGCTGACTCTTGTGCCAAACTGGGTAACTGCAAGTACCCAGGAGCTGAATACACCCATTGCACAGATGAGCGTTTGTTTGGGAGCTCCATCCCTGGGGCTGTAACTCAGTGTGTGGCCCCAGCAAAACGATAGTCTCTCTTGATTCTCTGCAAAGCTAGGATGATATGCATCTCAGAGGTAAGCTCTGAGAATTAATTAATGGAGAGGTTTCAGCTGCAGTATAGCACTCGAGTGTTCTGAAACAGGCGTATTCTGGTTAGTGCTGATCAGCATGTGGAATTTCTGTGCATTCTCCCTTCAGAAGGGTTTTTTTCTAATCTTATATTGGTATGAAAAGCTAAGAAATCTAAACCATTTCATAAGAGAGAAATCCTGGACTTAGCACCACTCATGAATTGTGGTGCATCTTAGGGATACAGATCTAAACTGGGAGAACGTTGTGATCAGGTGGAAGGGAAACTAAAATGCTGCTGCTGTTATATGTAGAAGTGTGCAACACCCCAACACCTCCCCTGAAATACTTGGTATATCTAGAAATTTAAGGATTGAAAGTCAGACTATAAGATGTTCTTGTATCACCTGCATTACGTTATGGTAACCTCTAATGCTATGGCATGACCCCAAACTCCTAATTTTAAGCATCTGATTTCTTTATGTAGTTACTGGTAGAATGATTATTTCTTAAGGACAATTCAGAACACGTTTGATGCACATAGCTTTTGGCACAGATGGTGATGCATCTGTCACCATGTTTATTGGTAGTTTGCTCCCCATGCACACCCTCTCTTGTGCTGGCAAAACTGGTAGTAGAGATATGGTGCAGAACAATTTATGGGACTGATAAGAACCTTTTATCCATTTGCTTTTGCCCATTTGCTGCATTTAGACAAGTTTCCAAGTAGTTTGCTTCAGAAAACCTTTGTTCCAGCACAGTGAAAGAGACAGATTGGGGACAAGAATAGAGAAAGAACAGGAATGACTTAAACACAGCCTTAGGAACACAAACCTTGTAATTACTCCTTCATGGACTGCATTTTCTAGTGAAACTTGTTACTCAGACTACCCAGCCTGATGTTTTAGAAGGATTCCATTTTCACAAAGTATTAGTCATTCATCATTTGAGAGGAATGAGGCTCAAGGAAAGGTGCTTCATATTGGGCAAAATCACCCATCACTACTGAAAGTAAGGTTCCTGGAGTTCAACTGGCATTTTTTAGTACAAGAAATTATTTTTGTGGGCCAAGATGTACATCTCTTGAAACATTCGAAATTTTTCTTGGATCAATACAGATGTCAAATGTACCTCTTTTGTCCAAAAGATTAATATTCACGATTATAATATTAGATCAATCTGACATTCAAAGTCATCTGTTTCTGTTATTTAATCCAGATAATAAAAAGCATCCATCTATTTCTATATATATACAAAACACAGAACAGCCTAAGTTTGACACATTCTTTTATAGTGACACATTAATTACTCACTGCTTTTGGATGAAGACGATTTCTGGGAAGAGGCAAAATATTTCTGAAAAATATACACAGTAAGTTAAGATGAGTAGTATTTACTTATTTAATTGGTTGGCTCAGATACATGTTTCAAGATCTAGAGAGGAGATCTGCAGTAAATGGATTTAACTGGAGCTATGCACCGCTGTAGTGGTTGTGGTGATGCTGTACCCTTAGCGTGGAACTACTCTAGGACAGCTTCTGTCCTGGACCTCGGGTCCCCTGCAACCGTGCAGAGGACCTCGCCAAACACCATAACACACACTGTTGTGGATGCCACCTGCTTTTCTTGGGGCATATGGCCTGTTTTGTAGAGCGATGTCCTAGAGATGAGACAGTGGTTACAAAGCAGCTTCCTACACTTCTGGGGACGCAGGAGTGAAACAGGCTGTACTCAAGTTTACTTTGCCTCTTTTCCTCCAGAGACTTGGAATATAAATCATAGAGTTACTGTGTCTTGTTTCTTTACAAGCAATCCTGTGCCTCATCCCCTGCAAAAACATCTGATTTGCAAAGGTGCGGAGATAGGTAACAGGACTTAAAACTGGCTTGCAGAGATGGTTTACCCCTGCACTGGATCCCTAAAGGGATATTCAAGAAAAATAGTACCCATTTGACTTGAATGGCTTGAATACAGAAGTTCGCAAGGAAATAAGGACTTTCGATTCTTACCTTGTCCCAACATCCCTAGTTATTTGTGTGTCCTGACAATTGCTTAGTGTTTGAAGGCTACACAATAGAGAGAAGAAAATTTTGTCTCTGCTAATATTTCCTATTGATATAAGCTGCTATTGACTTACCTGGAAGTATCCAGTTTAGGTGACTCTCTGCTCATGCTGTGCATGTGAGAGTGCTCCATATTCTGAGCAGGCACGGATAGAAGTGGCTTAGTGTACCTAGTAATAAAACATGAATTCAGAAAGGAAAATTATATTTAACAACAGTGAATGCAAAGGCAATCTCTCTTTCTCCTTCCCCTACCCCCTCAAAATTCTAAAAAGTACCCTTAAGAGGTATTTCTTTTTAATATGTGTTGTGTTTGGGTTATTGAAATTAACATAGAAATGGATGACAATCTTTGTGTCTCTAAAGAGAGAGAATTACTATATATATATATATTTTCTAGAGAGAGAATTATCAAACACATAGTATCTAGATGAGAAAATATATTTTCTGACAAGTTTTAAATAATGCACAAGCATTCATAGCAATGGGTTACCTGGTTACTGGTGGTGGTGATGGTTTTTCCTGTAAGAGAAAATACACTGAATTATTTGGTCACTTTGATTTCATAAAATAGATTTGTATGATCCTATGTATGTTATCACAGCAATATCTTATTTTTGCTTTGTGGTACAGATTTCTAGTAGAGCTCTGCCTGGTAATCTGCATTAGGATGGCAAAGGCAAGAAGTCACCACCAGTAAATCTGCAAAGCCCCGAGCACACTGCTTTGGCTGTGTGTCATGTCAGTACCAGCAAGTGGGAAGAAAATGACTGTGTCAGAACTGTCATTGCTCCTTTGCTGCAGTTCTGCTTCTGGAAAGCAATCCCTTAGGCTGCTGCTTCCCAGACTGGATTACTATCACACAGGACTGGGAAACTTCAGCCCCTTCCCATTTACTCTGTTTTGCAGATCTTTTGAATTGCTTTGCCAGCTTTTCTGTGAAGGAAGCATGGGAAAGTTTTAAGTGCAGACATAGATTTGTTCCCATTTCCCCTTTAATCATCTTTTTACAATCACATTTGTGCCCTGCCTGAGGGCAATGCGAGTCATAAGCTATAGAAAGGCCTTACCTCTTCCTCAGGAACCTCATAGACTTCTGTAGGACAGGGGGGAAAAAAATGCGTCTTTGGTTAGCAAAAATGTACTGTGCGTTACCAGAAAAACTGATCAGAATTTGTATCAGTTGTACTTCTGCCTCTGGAAAAATAACTTGGAGAATCTGCTCAGAGCTTGATTCTGCCTCCAAAACTCTGGGGTAGCTACACCCCTGGTCTTATGGGGGAACTTCAGGAACGGTCCCAGGAAGTCTGATAAACAGTCACTGTGAACCTTCCCCTCACCCCACAACCTTTTTTTTTGTTGTTGTTGTTGATTTTGGTTTTTTTTTTTCCCCAAAGCAAGATGAATGCTTGCATTGTGCAAACCCGGGACAGTTTGGAAGAGATGCATTATCACACATTATTTAGCTTTTTCTTGACTCTCAGGGAGGAAGAGATCAGGTGAATCATAAATTCAAGCTGGCTCATTTGTGTGGCCAGCATCCATCCCTGAGTGCTGTCCCACAGGTGTCTTTTAGTTCACAAATATTAAAAGCCAAATCCACCAGCAGCCTTATCTATGTCCAGTTTCTTCAATGGAAATTGAATTATATTTCAACAAATTTCACGTCAGACTTCATCGCTTTTATGGTGCTGAAAAGTGTCCGAGTTCCCACCAGGGGGAGATGTTTTATTTTGTTAGTAACATCAGTCAGGAGCTGGCTGGTGCTCAACACTGATTTACAGAAAGGCTAAGATTGAAAAGGGCATTTTAAAATGTCTGAAAAGGAACTCACAAAATCTTAAGTCATTCAGAAAAAAAACTTTCTTAGTTTACTACTTGAAAGCTAAACCCATTGCTAATGAATATGCAAAGCCTTGTAAAGAATGGTGTGATGGGTCTGTAAAGGTTACCTTCCAAGCAATTAATGAGATTATAAGGATGCAAAACAACTTGGAGTTAGCACAGCTAAGGAAGATTAAGCAAGTGTATCTGCACTTACAAAAGCAAATATGATTCCTCTTATTTGCTTCTGCTTTTGTTTCTTTTTCCAAATAAATTGCTCTTGCTAGAACTTAAATGGGAACACTGTTACCACAGGACGTGGAAAACATCAGCCTATATAGAATTTCTTTAAGGTTGAATCTTGAGTGGCTTTTAAGTATTAAGTCTTGATTCCTATAGTGAAATGGGATTACTAACATACTGAGTCCTAGAATTGTTTTTGCTGTATTGATCCATTTGCGTTCCTCCACTAGAGGAAAGGACCAAAAATAAATTAGGTTGGGACAATGACTTATTCTGGTTTTATTCATGCTTAAAACAGATTTACTATTCAAGGTAGGCAAACCAACTGCTACAACACAGAAAACCTAAAGGGGAACATATTCTTGTTTTACTGAATTATGTCATATGGTTTGTGTTGTGAATACATCAAGCGTAATTTAATATTCCTCAGTCTTAGATTATTTTATTTTAATAATGATACAAACTCCACATACCTTGCATATCAGAAGTAATAGAAGGTTTTGGAGAAGTAGGAGGGGGTGACTTTGTTGTCTTCATAAATCTGTTCACAGGAGCTAAAAACATATTTTATTCATATACATATATACTTGTGCATATACATATATATTAAAAACTAATAATGTAACATTTATACAATAAGAATAAATATTAAGTGAGTCCAAGTGATAGCCTCTTTGTGTGACCTTGAACAAATCAACTGAGCCAGAAAGCAGCTCTCATTTTAAAAGAGAAACATTATTCAGTGTTCATGGCTTGCTGAATAGGGCTGATATTGTCAGTAATGCCAGAGAGCAGAACTACATACTCTTCTGTTTACTTTTCACCTTTGGAGTGTAGTGGTTTCACTCTTCAGCTAAATATACTTCAAATAGTGAGGTAAAAAAAAAATTAAAATGAAACAAAGTCTATCTTTATCTACTGAAAATCTAAAAAGGCTTGTTCTTCTCCTGAAGCACTTCAGCAAACAGAAAATTTTAATACTGTGGCTCCCTTGGACGAGGAGGGAGATCACGTACCATGAAAAGCTTCCTGATTGTACGAGGGCTGGACTTTGAAACAGCTGAGTGAGAGGCAAGAATTAAACATGGCTTCCAATAAAGTTAAAAATAATTTTCCTTGGCCTTGTCATGGGCTAAAGGAGCCAACTGCCTTTTTGCAGGCTGCATTCTCTAATAGCCGCACCTCCACTCTTTGAACCTTAGAAATAGACATTAATTTGATCCATTTTCCCCACTGTTGTTCCTAATAAGGCAATAATTATTAGCTTAAATGACTAAAACTCACATCTTGTAGGTAGTGACGCGCTGCTTTCTGTGGGTTCAATATAGTTATCGTCGTCATTGTCCACTGGCACAATGTAATTATCCTATGAGAAATGCAGAACAAAAGTCTGCCAGTTAAACCTCCATCATATCAACAAACTGTTGGGATCGAAGCCCTGGCAACAGTTTACAATAGTTGCCATTTGACAGTGACTGTTATTTCAGACATTTATCATCCTATGTGGATGGGATTCCCCAAGACTGAAAACCCTTTACCAAATTACTCCAGTTCCAGACTGGTGGATAAAAGCCCTCCCTTCCCTTTGGTCCTGGGGTAGCCTTTGAGGTTGCTCTCTCCCCATCACCTGCAGCTTGTAGGCAGATATCCCCTAGGAATCAGCATGGTACTCACAGGTCACCGCTTGCGATGTACAAAATGATTTGTACCATAGAGGCTACCAAGAGACCGGGCCATGGCATTGCTGTGTAGTCTATCTTATGATTAGTGTGGCATCATCAGTCATTTAAACTGTCAAAACAAATATATCTATAAACATTACCTCATCATCACTACACTCCTTAGGCTTTGGCGGTACTTTTGGTTTTGCAGCAGGAGATGGCAGTGGCAGGGATGGCACGGATGGTTTCTTTGGTCTGGACACGGCTGGACTGGGTGTACTTGGGAGAGGTTTGTTGATGGGAGGAAGCTGCTGCTGACTGGTACGACTGTCTTTTAATATTGAAGAAACCAACAATTTTAGTAAAAATTACATGTTAGCCTCTGGACCATCTTCTACTACCTGTGCAAACAAGTCTTTACTGTTGCTGCAGCTCAGGTCAAAAGGCAGACCTGAGTGTATGCTGGCCCTGATGTTGAGACTTGTATGCAAACTGGTCCAATTCCATTGCTCAAGGTAGCAACCTAGTCCTCTGTATCAGGCTGAAGAGGGTGCCTAGACACTGACTGTTGTATGAACAACTGTTTAACTCCTTGGGGAAAAGGTGGTGGCTGGGTTGTGCAGTCCATTAGTTAGTATGTTCTGTGCCAGTATGAACTTCGGTGATAGGAAGTGAGAAAGAACACATCTGACATGAGAAAAAACAACTCTTACACAGCACAAAGGGTGGGACTGAAGCACAAATTATGCCAGGTCCTCTGAGATGTCATTATAAAAATTCCTTCCCTTTTCAAAGAACACGTAGGTGAAGTGCTGATAAACTTCTATGGGTATGTATGCAGCATTTTAGCACTTTGATGATTATTCTATAAACAGTAACAATCTTGTATCATAGAAAAATGAAAGCAGGCATCATGCCAGTCCGCCCCCCCTCCCGCCTCCCCTACACCC